GAACAAGCCTGCTCCACCACTCGGTCACTCTTCTGAGACCACAGAACCCTGAATCCTCCACGAGACACACTGAAAACACTGACCAGGCAAATTAAACCACTGTTTGTGAATTAGGCTTTGTACAAGGTCATGCAATGCAGATGTCAAGCAGTACACTTTTGGGGATGTGGAAGGAGCTTTCAGCATGAAGTCCAGATGTAATATTTATAGCAACTAGGCAGCAAATCTCTTTGTTTATCTGATTTCCCCAAAACCATGTCTTTCAGCAAATATTTACAATGCTGAAGTAAAATAAAGAAAAAAAGGGTGATTTTCTTTTTGTCTCTCCATTTCTTTTGCACACAAAACTGGAAATAGTGGCTAGAAAGTGACCATTTCAAATTATAACTGAAAACTGCATTTATTAAATTTGAAAACATGTACCCAAGAAAACCTTTATACATTTTTATGGCAAGTTTTCCTATTACATGAGAGACTTTCTTACACATTTTAAGCTTAAATGAAGAACAGCAACCAAACAGAAGTTTGGACTAAAACTGCAAAGCTGTTGGCTGTGTTGAGGGAAACTATGGCTGCACAACTGAAAACAAGATGAAAGAACAAATTCACAGAAATAGTTCATGTACTAGTGAACAAATCTCTAATAAAGTAAGAAACAGAAGAAAGCCAAATCTGCTCTGCATGTCAGTACTATTGATACATAAACATGGACCTGCACTGGTAAAATCTGTAAAATAATGTCTGCTTAGGAAATACTTAATTTGAGCTCTAGACTGTCCATGTTCAAGCATGGGTTTAAATTATTACAGTTCTACTTTTCTAATTTCCTGAAGGATACTACCTGTTCTTAGATCTGTTTAAAATTAACTACGTGCAGGCACAATTTGAAATCAAGGTGAAGCTGTTAGCAGGATAAGAATTTTCATGTGCTGAGTAGATGATCCTTTTTTTTTCTAGATTTGGTACTGCAATTTGTTTCCAGTATGTAGACACTATACAGGAGTGCACTCAAAGAAGTTTTTTAAACTCTCTCTTCTCATTTTTCAGGTTGAAACATCGTTTTGGTAATTTCAACAGACCCTCTGTATTTTTCTCTACGTACTCAGTTTCTACATCTGCCAAATAATGTTACACCACAGGTAAGTTACACTTTTGACCCAGACCAGGGTGAAATCCAACCATCCTACCCAAAAAATGACCTTATGTGAATGGTTTCATCAAAGTTTCAGCAGAACTGGCACAAGCAGCAGTTTACAGAACTGTGCCAATATCTGGAAAGTAGAGAGAGCTGCATACAGCAAAATTTAAACCTAACTGATTTCTTTCTGAATTTCTAAAGTTGTTTTGAATCACTAAGTCATGAATTGGATCCTCAGTGTGAGATAAGAGTGTTGAAGTAGCTTATAGGGGTTTATTTGAAAGATGTGATTTGTTAGGATTCCCATCCTTAAGGCCTGAGCAAACCCAAGTGTGTCTGTGACAGCATCCACAGTTATATCACCACTTATGGTGAAGTGAAGAAAAATAAATTTACCTGTGCTTTACATCATTAAGGTATATTTACATTCTTGAAATGCAAATGTGTAGAGTCAAATAGTGAAGAATCCAGTCCATACTTAGCCACAACAACAACAGCAGTGGATCAGAGCTGACTAGGAACAGGGGAAAACACTTAATAATTAACTGATACAGAAATAGGACCCTGTGTAACGTGTATCAGCTGAAAAGTCATTTTGAATAAAGTCATCAAAACTAAATATTGTAACAGCTGGTTCTTCATTAAATCTAATTCCAAATCATTGGCACATGCAGTATTGCCACAGAACAGAGGAAAATTCAATTGGATTTAGGCAGCTCAAGAAGCTGTCCTTCAATGCATCCTTAAAGGAGCAAGCTTCTATTCACTTCTTTCCAAGTGGAATTATTTAAAAGAAATTATTAGCCTACATATTTGTCTTTGGGTATTCCTACTGAAAGGGAAGGGAACACCTGGATGTCCTGGGACATGGAACATTTAGTCCTACACTATGGGGAACAGGCTGAAAGCCTGAAAGTTGTTAGTGTCTCTGAACATGTGACATGTTGGCTGGCCAGGACTCTGCAACCAGAGGGCTTCCAAATAAAAAAATGGAATTTCTGGAGGCTGGAAGTGCAAGTTCCAAACTGCAGGTTTTCCTCATTGTCAGGTAGTTAAGAAAATAATGTAATCCCTACATAGAAATATCCAGGTATTTTGTTAATGCACGCCAGGCCACATGCTTTACCTGTGATTGAGACAGCTTCCTCCTTGCCTCAAACTACTACTCTCTTAGACATGGCAATAAGATCTGGGTGACACGGAGATACATCTGGATCTGAGCACTCCTTTCCATAGTTTTACGCAGCAGGAAAGACCCTGGTCTCACTGTGAAGTTCACAAGTGAATCCAGTTTCACTGATTTTCTACAAAGCTGGAATATTTGCAAGAGTTCTCACAGCATAACAGATCCCTTACTCTCCATTTCTGCTACTCTAAGATTTAATCAGTTCTGTTTTTAAAAAGCCTTAATTCAACTTTGCCTGAAATACCCATTTACAGAATCACCTTCTGTGTACTTCTATACTAAAGAGCAAGATCTATCTTAAAACCCAGTGTGAGAAGATCTACAATGCACCACTTAAAATAAAAATCCTACCACAGCTGGACAAGTTCTGACATTATCAGCAGTGCTGTTGCATAAGGACAGAACCAAACAGCAGTTACATTGCTCCTGGTATCCAGAGCATAAAAAATATAAGTGGGAGTAGAAACTGAGTGCTTGGGGATAGTCTTTCTTCTCACATTAATACTCCAGATACCATGACAATCCTACAAGGATTTGTAAGCAAAGGAAAGAAAAACGAACAAGCAAAAAGCCCTGTGCATATTAAGGAAAAGATAATCCAAAGGTGTATTTTAGATTTTGAGTAATTAGTACATAAGATTGTTTTGTAATGGTTCAGCTGCAGCACCTGGCCTCTCCAGGAGCCTGGGTAAAGCCTCAGACAAAGCATCAGTGACAGCAGCTGCTGCCTGTGGGGCTGCGTGGGTGTGCGAAATGCAGGACACAGTGAATCAATTGTGTGCTGAAAGGACATTATGCTCCTGTATAAAAGTGAGGATAACCTGTTTCAATATTGATATCCAATCTGTGTCAGCAGTCCTGAGCACAGGTTTAAGGTCAGACTTCCATCCTTACAAGGTGCCCACAGCTCACTGACCTGGGAATGGGCTTTGGCACTCGAAGCACTGTTCCCATCTGCCTGAGTCCACCAGCAGTGACACCATCTGACTGAAACTGGGCCAGAAAGAGTCCTTGGGTCCCTGGAAGGTACCACACATAGTGCAAGGACACCTGGAATCTGGCTGTAATGGGGACACACCAGTGGTGTTAGTGACAACAGCAAAGGGTCTGAAGAAATTACACCTGATTTTGTGCTTGTGACTCAAGCCAATAGCAGGGTATTCCAGAATCTTTGGAGACACCAACAGTGTTTTCCAAAGAGAAGCAAATGAATGTGACCTTCATAATCAATAAGAATACAAAACCATATAATGACTACCTAGGCCATGTTTTCATCTAATCAAGTAGTTCTTACTGAAAAGTAATGCTACCAAAATCTTTGATACTTCAACATAATTTTAATCCTCTGAGACTTTAATCTTTGAATACCCTAACAGTAGAGTAACATGCTAAATCTTTTTATTTCCATACATCATACACGTATAATCAATGGAAATAAAAAGTAGTTAGGAGCTTGTAGTATTCCTTACACATCCAGCTACCATCACAAGCCCATCACATATGGGTGATATTCCTTCACCACAAACTCATGAAAGAGAATCAATCCCCTTGCACATGGATATCCCACAACCCAGAGCTGCTCCTCCTCTGAAAGGCTTTTCTGGATTAAAGTCCAAGGAGAGGAATTTGCTGTTTGTGTGTGGCATGAATTTCTGCTGAGCCACTTTGTGCCTGCATTGCTGATGGTCAGCCTTTGTATCACTGCACACTGAAAACCTTTGCTTTCCTGGGGGAGCTGAAAATCATCAGGAACTAAGTAAATGTACCATAATCTTGGTTTCAGAGCTCTGCCTGAAGAGAAATGGGAATGTTTCCAGAAGTGTTTCCTTTAGGCCTTTTTCTGCATTCTGGCCCCAGCTTTTATACCTAACTCTATGTCCTCCTCATAAAAGGGCCCAGACCTTTGTTCCTCTTTTGTTCATGGCAAAAGGTAACACCCTCACAACAAGGCTAGTAGTCATAAAAAGTTTACTATGGCATTTTGGCTCAATAAAAAAAAAAAAAAAAAAAAAAAAAAAAGCTACCTCGGGAAATTTTTTGGGATAATTATTGTGAAAAAAAAAAAAAAAAAGGCTACTGACTGGAAAGTTTTGTGGGAATTAATTCTGGCTGATATGGCAGAAAACACACACCCAAACAGCAGGGTGACCTGATTTTCTAAATGGGCTTGGAAAATACGGTTTATAATTAGGAACACGGATTGCCCATATATGTTTGAGAATCACTGAAAATGGGAAACATAATTTTAAGTTGTTGGAAAATGTTTTGGTGATAAGGACTCTACTGTATTTCCACTAACTACCACCCCTAAAGAAGACCATGCTAAATAGAAAACTCAATTCCAAGGGCAGGAGAAGCCCTGACACTTTATTGCTAGATTCTATAGCAATTGGAGCTCACTTACAGTAACCTTATAGTACTCTATATAAACTGAGAAGCTTGTATCAAATTCAGGCTTCCATTTAAAATAGATATTGCAGATATTAGGCTTCAATTAAAGAAGAAAAATAACCTTCAGTGCTTTTTTTTTTTTTCTCTTAAAGGCAAAGTATCAAAAAAAATCCCCAAACTAGGTGGAAGTTATTAAATTTCTCCAAAAACTTAAGATGAGCTTTCTTCTATTTCTTGAGACAGTACAATTTGTGATTCACAGGGTAGCTGGTATCAAACACAAGGTAATGAAAGCTCGTATAAGCAATTTTATTCCTAACCATAATGGCAGACACTAACAAAATCAAAAGAATTTATCCTTTGAGTTCAACTTAAAAAATAACTTATAAAGCAGTGATATATGCAACATAAAACAGTTCAGGATGGGAGAGGGAAAGCAAATTTTAATAATTAAAATGTAAACGTGAAAAAGAAAAAAAAAAAAAAAAAAAAAAGAAATGGAATAAAAGTCCCTACTTCTGATTTCTACGTAAGATGTCACGTGATCCTATTTTACAGTGTCCTGGGGTCTGTGTGTGTGTGTGTTTGGTGCCACACACACACACCCCATGCTGACCCACACATGTACACACACAGACAGGCGCTGGCAGCTCCACCTCGGGCACTTCTCTCATGCCACTCCTTACAGTTGTCTCAAGCATGTTTGGGACCCACTTTCTTGACAAAACAGGGGAGATGGTAGGAGAAAAAAAAAAAAAAAAATCAGGTGGGTCTGATTGTGTGTGAGATCCTTTAGTTAAACTGTACACTGGGACGAATGATTTTCTTCTGCAGTAGCTCTCTGGAGAGGGCCAACTCACTGTGGTCTTCATGGCGACACTTGAGAACGGGTCACACACTCATTGTCATGCTAGGGGAGTACTGGAAAAGAGGAATCCACATTTTAACAGACATTTATTCCCCCCACCCGCAGGCAGCCACACCCACACCTGGGCTGCGGCACCTTGAGCTCCCTCCTGAGTTTGTGCTGCAGCCTCTCTTGGGACTGCAGTTCAGTTTGTGTCCCCTGAATTTCTGCTGTGCTTCTCTCATGCCACAGGACCGCCACTGCTGACAAAGGCAATGCCCCTGAGAGCTGTTCTGGTGTCACCTGGGTGCTGTGATGAACCAACACCTCACTGAGGCTTCCCACACCCCTCCCTGCCCACTGCTGGCTACTGGGGAATTCACCTGGGCAGCTGCTTGAAGAGGACTGGCTGCATTCATGGCTAGCTGAACCACACAAGATTTTGGGGAGGTTTTGATTACTTTAGGGGAAAAAAGGAAGAAAGATATGTATAACTGTGATTCAGTTAGACTTTTGGTCTGAATTGTTTTCTGTTAGCAATTTTAGGGGGCAAGATGAATCAGGGACCAGTGGTCATTCTCCTTTATGTGACCCAAAAATGCAACCAACACATCACATGATTGCAGTGACACAACCTGAACTGCAGCCTTTAGCCAAGCTACCCCCAGGTTAGCAGTGCTTCATTAAAGTAGTCAATGGGACAGCACAGTGCCTAGGAGAAATGCACAACTCTACACCTAATTTGCTTTTGAATTGAAAACTGTGGACTGCAAAAACACTTAATTTGGTCTAACATCCTCTAAGTAGAGGAAAATGTTAAAATGCAAGAAGATCAGCATTTTGAAAAATGACAGAAGAAAAAGGAAACATAAATTTGCCTGTGCAAAACCACATGAGCCCTACATGTCCTGCCAAGTCTTGAGTTCCAAGCTGGCCATTTCCAAGTGTCCAAGGATATGGAAAGAGAATTTTAGATGGGTCTTCCCTGTCATGTAAATTACACAGGTCTGACTACCAGCTCTGAGGCTTAAAGCAAAGCACCTGCTCAAGTAAATTCCTGTACCTGAGCCAAGGTATCTGGGGAATCACTTGGGGAAAGGAATGGTCTCAAGTTGTTTAAGATTTTCAACTTGTTTTTAAGCCCTGGATTCCTACTTACCCCTAACCAAACTCCTGATGAACTGAACAACAAATCTCCCTGAGAAGGATAGCACCTATTCTGAGCAGCCAAGTGGCAAAACGTGGAGCAGAAAGCAAAGCAGGATGAGAGAGCAACCCATGGAACAGAGGCTGCAACCCCTGGGAGCAGACAGGGACACCCCTGGCATGTGCCACTCCTGCCTTGCAGGCACACATCTCAACAAACCCTGAGAAATCTGAGTCCCTGGCTCTTCCAGGCAGCACAAAGACATCCAGAACCCAGGGAGTGTCTGAGAACACTGATTTTCTCCAGAGCACCACTGATGTCCTCTTGTTCCCACGGCCCTGCTTCAGTGACCCTGGCTGCCCTCAGCACAGCACAGCGTGCCAGACTGGGAGCCAAGGGCTGCCAGGAACAGGGACCACGTTTCATGGAGCCTCTGTGCTTACTGCCATTTTGGCAGATATTAAACATTGCTCTTTTTAGGTTGTGTATGACAGTTTTCTTCAACACTCCACACAACCTGAATGTGTGCCCACCAACAGCTAACTGGCAGAAATTCTTCCTTTTCACTAGCTGGAAAAGAAAACCTCCCAAAACCCCTCAAAATCAGATTCCCAGGGAATTTTCCATGGAACTCAACTATGCTGAGACCTAACAGCAGCTGTTTACTGAGCAGCAGGTCACAGTGGCACAGGTAATGAGGTTACACTCCTTTTTAGGGACCCAGATGTGGATTTAGAAACCCAGCCCCAGGCATGTGAGTATGACAATACCACAGTCTTGCTCTGTAAAATGTTTACACCACATTTTGCTGCTTTGAGCATTTCATATTTAAACAAAAAATAAGCATAGCTTTCCCCAGAATGAACACTAGTGGAACCTCTGCTTTTTATGGGTGCAACAGCACACTGCAACATGGAATCTACTGGTGCTGTCATCACATACTTCGTGTAAATCCTGCTTTTTCACTGACCTCGTGGCCCAGACAGTTTCTGCAGTAAATCTATGCCTCCCACCTATTCCAGTTTCAGCTCTCTTTTTGCACAGCATTTTTTATTCAAATCAATACTGTACTTTCAGAAACTATTAAAAACCATGCAAGGCACAGTGTTGCTACAAAACTTGTACAGTTTCTTTCTCTAAACAAAAGGCCACAAATACAGGTTCACCTTTGCAATCCAACAAGCCAGGTAATGAAATACTTACACTCTCACTCTGAAAAGGGTTTAGGAAGTTTCCACCCATCTCACTGTCATCCCTGGGAGTGCCAGGCTGGTTGCTCATGCTCATATTACTGGGAGAGTTCTGTTGAAAAAAAGATGGCAAAGTAGAGATTCAGTGCTGCAGGATTCAGTTCATTTCCAGCCTCACCAGGTGAGCCCAGGGCACGCTCCACACAGAACTTGGTGCACTCAGGTGCACTGGGCCTCTCAAGGATGAGAAATCAGCCCCAGCAGGGTTCTGCATGATTCAGTCACTAATTTTAGTCTGTTAAGTAATGTTCTCTTCCCTGAAGCAAGGATTATTTACCTGTGCCTCATTTTCAGGCTATAGCCAGCACCTGCTTCTGCTATAAGCTATAAAAGGCTGCAGCAGGGATATGAGGAAGTTCTGTCCCCACATTAAATCATGTGGTTGAATGCAGCCACATCTGTGAGCCCTGACATATGTGAGTTATGGGTAGAGAGATGAAAGATAGACAAAAGATGTGCTTAAAGGCAGGATGGATCAGGTCTGCACAGACCTTTGCACAGGCCTGTGCCTGAGGGCTGCTCATCATGGCCACAATTCACTGAAATAGTAACAATCTAAAGCCTTCCACAAATTAATTGTTACTCTTTTCCTTTCAGAAGTGCACAGTGACTTCTGCAACTTCAGAAGCAGAATGGGTGAAACAAGGTAATTGCTACAGAAGTTATTGTGCACCAACAGCTCACACATGGTTATTGTACACACTACCATCAGTCAGGTGCTCTTACAAAGCTGCTTTGCAGTACCCTGCCATGCCTGGACCACGGGCAATCCTCTTTCCATCACTGCTACAACTCCTACTCAGAAGACTCACAATGGAAAAAGAGCATTGAGGGAAAGGGAGGGTGAAAACCTGGACCTCATAATGAAATCCTTACATCTATCACAGTTCTTTCCTTGGCTTTTGTGTTTTTAATTCAGAAAAATATATTGCAATGTAAATATAAATACCAAACTAATTACATACATGACCTGCAAGCAGAACTTCTTTACCAGCATCTGAAATACAGCTCAGAGAGCTGGGTCCCAATCCCTGCTTTAGCCCTTCTGCTTTCCTCAGTCTAATTCAGTCCTTCCACAACTGTGATCCTCAGGCCACTGGACAGCACGTCCATCAAAGACAACTAAAGCCTAACGAGGTTACTGACATCAGTTAATTACGTGTGCTCTCCAGTGAAGCCAGCACACAGATGCTCAGGAACCCAGAGCTCAGAGAAGGTTGCACCTACTGCTGCTGTGCCCCCAGCAGCATTAAAGCAGGGAGCCCAGAGCTCTCCTGTGTTACACAGGGTCAGGCTGCACAAGCCCAGCACTCCCACTGCCCTCAGCCTCCAGCAACATACAGACCTTCTCACATGTATTTTACATTATGCTCCTGCACTTTCGCTTGCTCCTGGGGCATTTCCCCCTATTTTATGTTGCCCTGTGTAGAGCTAAGCTTTGGCATTCTGCCATTGCTGCAGCACGCCAGCCTCAAAGGGCCAAATTCCTGGGAAAATCCCATTTCAGTGACTCCCCCAGGCTGCTTTTGTGGCTAGGTGGGGTCAAGCACTACAGCACCAACTGGGATGTTCCAAAGCAGGGGTGCCCCTGGTGCCTGCACAAATTCCACGGGCATTGCAATAAATGCAGGTTGGTAGTGTTTATTTAACATGCATAATTTCAGTTCATTTACTGCCCTCGTCTGAACTTACTTCATAAAATACTTCATGTTCTGCCATTCAGCCAATTTAGCCAAAATCTTCTCTAGAAAGCTATGAATTCTGTGAGCTGTACTGATTCTGCCAGGACTGGATCTATTTTCTATGGGCAACTGTTTTACAGGCAAAATTAACAGCATTTTTCTTTTACTTATTTAAGAATCACATATATCAAATGTTATTTCCATGAGTTATTCATGCAAGCTGACATATTATGAGACTTTCAGGGAAATTGTTTAGGACCCAAGTTTTCAGAGCTGCTGATACCTGTACCAGCACATACTGACCAAAAAGTGGAATACTGGCTTTAAAAAGTATCCCATGGGAAGGGAAGTGTTTTGGATTTTTTCTCCCTTTAAAAATGCTGGTGTTATTTCCATGAGTTACTCATGCAGGTTGACATATTATGAGACTTCAGGGAAATTGTTTAGGACCCAAGTTTTCAGAGCTGCTGATACCTGTACCAGCACATACTGACCAAAAAGTGGAATACTGGCTTTAAAAAGTATCCCATGGGAAGGGAAGTGTTTTGGATTTTTTCTCCCTTTAAAAATGCTGCAGTTTGCAGTAAGACAGCGAAGAAAAAAGATAAGACTTTGATTAAAAATGTGCTGTATGCTGGTCATCTCACAGGAGGGTTTTAGTGAATCCCTCACTGCACAGCTGAGGCAATGTGGTCTTTCCCTTCCATCACTTTACGTCATGCAGAGTCTGAAAATGTTATTAACATTTAAGAACACATTTCTGCCCCTTTACCACATCAGCTCATTAATTCCTAAGTTAATGGTGATCACATCCATAGCAGTTTTATTTTTACAGAAGTGACGCATTCAAGTATTATTTTTGTAGATGCAAAATCCCTGCAGATTAAAGTCACATCCTTTTCCAGCTATTTAATGTTGTGGTATCAAAACAGTGCTTCTTCTGAAACTACTTCTTAATCTAGTTTTTGTAAATTTATCCTGAGGATTAAGATATTAACATTACCCTAGAGAGGTGACAAACCCAATCCTGCAACACCCTAAGAATATTGTCCCAAATTTACATTTGACAGGAATTGATTATTAGACCTGGTTTCATTTATTTGAAGAGCACCAAAGACTACAACATGATCAATCAGATTATGAACTGGTGCTAATTATATATAATATAGATATAATAAAGGTGCATAGCAAAAAAGATTCGTAACAGAGACAAAGGAATTGAGTTTAGAGTGACACACTCTAAAAATTCCAGATATCTGATTAGATACTCACTTTGGAAATACTGTCCATGTCTCCTGAGCCTGAAATTAAACCAGACAATTGCTCAGTTATTTTTGAGCTGAAGCTAATCCAATAATTTTTTTTTTCACAGAAAAGACATAGTGTGACATCAACATTTAAAAAAAAAAACCAACTTAGTAAAAGTGTAAGTTGGTACAGAATAATCCACTCAATCAATCTGAGGCTCCATCAACTGTTGCTGTACTGCATGTACTGAGTATCTCTTAGAAGAAAACAAATGATTCTGATGAGCAGAGTAATGGAAACCAAATACAATTAAATATGATGAGTGCAAGACTATTGAAAACTGAGGGCTTTTTTCACATGCTGTAGCTCTCACCTCAGGTAAAGCAGAGAATAAGGAAATGCAATTTTAGGATGGATGAATGAAGAAAAGGTTTTTTAGCAGCAAAAGACATGTATTTTCAGGAAAGACAAAATCTGGAAGAGTACTGAGTACAAAACTAGAAGAGATCACAGCAAAACCATCAGAAATGGAGCTGTGGGAGAAGGCTGAAACAGCTCCTTCATACAGCCAGGCAAACTAAGGCCAAGAAGGAATATGATTTATCTCTCCAGAAATGTCAGATACACAGATGTTATCAGGAGTTATTATTTCACGGCCCAAAAATGATAAACTATATGCTGGGTACACAGCTGAGTAAAATCCTCCCATAACTGCTGCAATTTAATTTTTCATTGTAGCATAGGAGAAAAAATTCTCAGCCTGTAGAAAGTGACAGGAAAAGGTGTGGCTGCCTCTCACACACACTTCATTGACTTGAATGCAATGTGCATCATTAGTAGTTAAACCATTCCAGGATTGTAATGGGTAAAGAAAGGCTGCTAAAATGTCCCTGTATAAAGTAAGCTAACATTTGAGGGACGTGTTTACAAAAGGAAAAAGTATTTCTCTTTAGGAAAGAGAGGCCTATGCTCAATTGTTATTGTTCACAACAAGTCTGCTCAACGAGCTTCAATTACTGTATTTTCCATTGCCACAGCCTCTTCAAATCATTCCCTTCATCTCACTGATGCATACAGACCTTTTTCCATACATTTTAACAAACTGCCTTCCACAGAAACTCCAAGAACAGTCACAGAAAGTAGCAGTGGCACTGAGAAGTGGCCGGGCTGTCAGTACTGAGTGATGCTGTTACCTAAAGATCCGTTCATGTGGTGTGAGTCCATCCCGCCCAGCCCGCTCATGGGCCCGTCTGAGCCTGGCCCCAGTGGAAACTGCAAAAGGAGCAGGCATTAAAAACTGCACAGGTGTGTAGCACAAAACGTTCCTCAGGAGAAGCGGGGAAAAAAGTGAGGACAAATCCTCAACTCTGAATGAGACTCTCAGGTACCATTCAGACCTTTTAGAGAAGGTGTCTCGTGAAGACTGAAAACCGGCATTTTTTGGGGTCAATTTAATGGTTTTTGGAGACTGTCGCCTCTGTAGGCTGGAATCCAACACAGTAATAATTTATTATTTACTTCAGTGTTGGTTTTGTATGACTTCTCAGACTGCTGCTGGCAACTCAGCCCTATCCCTGCTGAAGTTATAGGGAACTTTTGTAACTCCCTTCAATCCATCAGTGATTAATTAACAGCTTTCAAACCCCACCCGACCTATCCTAAGTTGGAAAGCTCCTCATCACCTTCATAACTTGAGCAGGTTTTATCCAATTACATAATTAACCTTAAATTTAGCTCTTCACACATTTAAAAGATACTACCATTACAGCCAAAAAATCTGCAATTTACTGCATAATGGCTTAGCATATCTACATATATTTATTTTTAAGTTCTACTGGCAGTTTCTTTTTTCCCAGAGGCCCATAACTGAAGAGCCACCCATAAAAAAGGAAAGCTTAGCAATAATGATAGCTGCTGGAAACACAGTGTTTGGATAAACAAAAGGCTGCACTACTCAAAAGAAAGATGTAAGAAAATTCATATTTACATTAGGTCTGTTGGGCCCAGGTGGCACAGCGTTCATTAAAGTGTACATGTTGTCTCCAGAGTTGGTTGAATCTGTAATAAGAGATTATTTTAACTGCAAAAATACACTTTTCAATAAAATTACTCACCTCATACATTTCCTGTCATTTTGTTCATATTATTACTGTGCCTCAATCCCATACACAGTGGCAATATAATGGCAGATTTTATTCTCTTTCTATCCACTGCTGCCACACAACAGGGCTATGAAAAGAAATAATTGCCATGGTCCCCAGGTGACTACTTCTGGGCTCTAGCTTTATGCATGACTGTTAAAAGGTTTATAAATCACCAAGAATCTGTGACTATTAAATTCCTGAAGCCCTGTTTCCTGGAGTTCTACATTTCTTCACTCATCTTCAATATTATCCATAGAACAGGAGTTTGTTTCCTATCAATAATTCCTGTAATTTGTTTCCTGCCTGTAATAAATGATAAAAAGCTTCCCCTTACACAGGCTGAGAGTTACAATTTTTTACTCTCATCCCTGTCAAGTCCATGTGATTTTGATTATATCCAAGTCTTCAGTGGAGTGCAAAGATCCTTCCCTCCTGAGGGAGGCTTTAGCTGATCCATCTTCATGGAGCAGCCTGGTGCATGGCTTGCAAAAAAACCCCAAAATGACAAAAACTGAAAGGACAATGACCTGACAAAAGTCTGTACACATCCCTAGGGGGATAGTGTGATTAAAAAAAAAAGATATATTGACAAATCTGGAAAATCAGTAAGTGCACAGAGAATAAAAAGTGCTCAACACTCTGCACCCAGACCCTCCACAAGCCCATTCCACACCCAGTGACATTCTAGGTACAACAGGAAGATAAATCAAGGTTTTTGCCTATTAATCAATATTTCCAAGATGATTTTCTAAGCATTAATCCAAGCTAATAAATCCATTATATACAGAGCACTACATATCACTATAATATTCAAAGATGCTGTCTGAGGAAAAGGGGGAACAGAAAAGCCTTTAGCCTGAAGTGAAATCAGCCTAATAAGTTGTTTTTAATATTCAGTAATGCAGGCAAGAAGTTCTTTGTCCATCAGAACCCTGTGCAAACACATCCCTGCTGTCCCCAAGCTCTGGGTAAAAACCTGTCTGCTGTCCTGGCTCATGTCAGAACACACAGGGATGCTTGGGCTGTGGAGACTTTGAGCTGTTGGTCTCAGAGGCCAATAAATATCTTGGCAAAACTCACAGACAACCAATTTCCAAGTGTTTTCATGCTTTGGAAAACAGAACTTCAAAATATCTTTACCTTAGGTTGCCCTTTTTGTTTGTTCATTTTTTTGTCAGGGTTTTATTTGTTTTGATTTTGATTTTTATGTATTTAAATCCCTAGATTTGTATTTAATGAAGTTGTATAGGGGTGAAGTAAGTTTCTATGGCCAGTTAGGAAACATCCTTACCCTTCTCTGCTGGAGAGGTTAGCAAGTATGGAAAAAAACTTCATACAGAAAATGTAGACCCAATAATTTGGCTATCTGACCCTTTATCTAAAAAAAAAAAAAAAGTATACTTGCTAAGATCCCTTATAATTTTGTTATTTCCAAGTATATTTCAGTACCTGCAGGACTAGGCATGATGGGTGTTCCTGGTGGCCCTCCACCTCCTGGAGGACCCTGTGGAGAGTAAAAATTGTCAGTTAGCATGAATTAAAAGCTTAGAAAAAACCTAAAACAGACACACAAAAAAACCCCACATCAAGGAACATTTATTTTTTGAAGTTTTGGTGATTTCCATGTCACAAATCTGATCAAGACTAAGAAACACAAAATGCTCTGGCTGTTAAACAAGAGTTTTTGGGTTCTTTACGATTTCTCCAGGAATTTATGGAAATCACCCTAATCATTTACTAATGACAGAAACATAACATCTTGCTTCCTCTGCCTGCTGAACCCCTTCAGGTAACATGAAAACCTACCAACTTCCACTTTGGCAAACATGCCTACATCAATTAAAGTCAATAAATGTTGACTTTCTGTAATAAAACATACATAGACTGCTAGGAATAATTATTCCTTTCATTGCATATGGCTATTACTGTATTTTATCTCTCTTGTTACCATTTAAAACAGCAGATATTCTGTTTCAGACAGGGATATCTTTTCAGTGGCAGTGATTACAAGGGTCTGGATGTTCTGTCTGCTTAAAGGATATCTATCCATATAACTTTTACATATAAACTTTTATCCATAGATTTATATCCACATTTTATCCAAACCCATAGGACTCCCTAGGCAACACAGGCTCTCCATATACTTTTTATTCATATACCTGTGTACTAAGCTCAATTGATTTTTTAAGGGCTCTCTCTGCATGTTTTTCAACATGACATAAAAAGATGCAGGAACAGCTAACTGATAATTTATGAGAAAAGTTACTTGTCCTCATTAACTTGTGCGTTTTATTTTCAATTTGCTTTTACTCTCATTGTGTTTTTTCTTCTCTTAGACAGTTTCTTAGTATCAACTATTTTCACTTTGATAATATAATTTCATTAATGTGTAAAATGTATCTAATTTGCATATTTATACATATTATATATACTTATATGTTAGTAGATACGTTTTTATATCAGCATATATTATTATATTATATATAGATGAATCTTAATAAGTTCTTAAAGCGAATAATTTCAGATTACAAATCCTTTCACTAAAAACCTTTTTGAGGAGCTCTCCAGCCCATCCCTCATCCCCAAACAGTTGCTCTCTGTGAAGTCAAATATTCCCAAAATGTCTTTAAATCCTTCACCAAGAGAATTTGCAAACCCATAAAACCTCCTGCAAACAGAGTGACCTCTGTGAAGTTCTCCATTGAAAGAACTGATTTGGAAACACCAAATATTGACTGTTTCCACTAAGCTGTGAAAAAATGAGGCCTATAGTTACAAATACTTGCAAGAATCATAACTTTTCCCCCAGTTAATTGTCTAAATAAATGACAGAATACATTGCTTTTAATTATATAATTCTCCCTTGTCACCCTGTGGCACCAGCCCCCTGCATGTGATAAAAACAGAATAAACAAACTGCCTTTAGAAGAGCTCCTCATCCATACAGATAACCTGAGTGCAACAACAACAATAAAGAGTCTAAAACAATAAACAAAGTTCATCTCTAGTGGCAGAGACAAAATCCAGCACTACACATGAACACCTTTTCCCTGCAGAAGGTCACAAACTCCCACACAGCGTGGTTTCCCTGGGAAAGCCAAGGGCCTTTTTCTGCTCCATTATTGTGGACAATACATGGTTTGAGGTATGGAAATGCTTCCTGAGGTATGGAAATGCTTCCTGCACTGGAGCAGCACTGAGGGCAGTTTGGAGCAGGCTGGCAAGGTGATGCTGATGAGCACCCGCACCTGCAGCACAAACCTCGGGGCAGGCCAGATGTTCAGCCAGCACTGGGGGCTCCCCTCAACATCTGGGCTGCTGCCTCCCTGCCCAAATGAGACAGGGATGTGATGTCCAGCAAACACACACAAAGGCACTCACCACGTAGTTCCCAGGAGAGGCTGAGGAATAGGGTATCTGTAACACCAACAGAAAAAAACAGTGATTTTGGGTCCCTCTGGGCTGGGCTTCTGCAGCTGCAGTGAGAGCTGATTCAATTAGAGGAACTAATTGAGAGTAACAGCTGAAATCATGGGGGAAACGCCCCTGCTGTCAAAATAAACACCTCTCTTCAGCAATTGCAAAATACTGACTAACAAAATAATAAAGTATTCAAATGTGAAGGTATGAGATTACTAAGGCAATGCAGTTTATAAGGTGTATGGACTCAGGCAGCACATACTTGCATTTCAGTCAGCAGGACTTCAGAGTCAGCACAAACTGAATTTGTATATTCTCAGAGATACCTAATTTTGAATACAATTTGACCACAAAAGGAAACGAGGCTACCAAATCTTTCACCTTAGAAGACACTAGTATTTATTTTCATTTTTTATTTATGTGTTTTTAAAGACAGTGTCCTGGAGAAATCTTGTGAATAATCTGGTTTCCTTCCCTGTTACTGCCTTTCCAAAGGAACACAGGGCAGTGCTGTTGTGGGAGCAGCAACTGTACTGACAAACACAAATTTCTCTACAGACAACTTAGTGCAGACAACAAATTATCATTACAAACAAATCTATTCCTGAACCTGCCAATTGATTTCAGGGACAGAAACGACTTTAACTATCAGCTAAAAAATATCAATTTCAATTGAGTACGTGCAAAAGAAAATCAAAGATTTTCACTAATAGAATTAAAAAGGCAAAAGTGAGAAAACCAGGAAGAACTGTTTAGCAGGGCAAGCCAGATCCACCTTATCCATCTACAACTGCCAAAAATGGACACTTTTAAACTAATGAGATATGATCCCTGAATGAAAATTAAGAACTTCTGCCTTCTGGAGAAATAGCAGACACTGCTGCTCACATAGCATCCCAGGACAACCTTTATTTTACAGATACTTCCCTAAATACAAGAGATGTCAAGTATATTTGTAGTATTTACTTACAGAATTGGCATTGGTTGGGTTTGGCCAAGGTCTACCACCCCCAGGACCCCTGAAACAGAGGAAGAATGATGAGACACAGAACCACCCCCATCCTCTGACCAGCTCTGGGGCAAAAAATCTGGATAATCTGTTTCCAGAGGAAGGAAATGGTTTTTTTCAAACCACTGTAGTTATAAACTGTAACTACACCAAGTTAAAATGCAATAGCAGAATTTTTGTTGTTGCACTGCTATTCAGCCATCTGGTGATTTGATTAATTTATTTACTACTCAGAAAATAAATTTAAGTAATAAAATAAATAAATGTTCAGTTTAATTAAGCACATGCCTGAAGTGCACTGTGGGTCTAGAATACTGCAGTATAGTCAGGTTTCATTAGCAAAACTTGTGCAATTAGGTAATAAATGTTTTGGGAGCACCTCATTTATAAAAGAACAAGCCATACAAAATATGTTGCTCTGATCCCTGTATGGTGATGAGGATGATGATGATGATGACCATGATGATAGTCTTGCTCATGATAATAAATTTAATGTATTACACCCAGAAAATCCTCAAAAGGTTTTTCTCACAACTTTTGCTGTTATTTTAAGTTTCTCACCCTCAGCTAAACTGAGAAAAATATTTTGGGGCTGAGGCTTCATCTCCTAACAATGCAGAGGGGACTGAGACACACCAGAGGTAAAATCTCACAATGTCCCAAATCCATAATTATTTCTGGGAGTACCAAGAGCTCCTGCTTGTTTACAAACTACACTGAATCACTTTTTGAAGGCCCTGACAACAGAGAGGCAGAGCAGATGACAAAACTTTCACATTTTCAGTGGCCTTTTGGCCTCATTAGCTGTAGAAAAGCAACATTAACCACTGCAGCTCACCAGGCATGGCAGAGAGACTGAAACAGAGAGAAAGAGTCACCCTTCATTAATGAGTTCTGAAAGTTTTCTAAGTCTTGCAGAAATAAAAACATTGCCTGAGGGATTTAATATTGAATCTTTTTTTTTTTTTATTACGTTGCTGATGAAACTATAAAGGAACAATCTCAAAAAAAAAAAAAAAAACAACAGAAAATTTATTTATTTCCACTGCCTTTATTGTTGGAATGCTGGAAATCAAGAATGTTGGTATGGTCTTTTTTACTTCATTCAAAGAAAGACTGAGAGAGAAAAAATGCTCCTCAGGTCAAATATTCAGCAATTTCTTCTCTGCTGATGATCACATAGTGAAATATCAACTTTCTTTTTTTGTCTTGCTGTTCTTTTTCTTATTTTTCATTGGTTTATTGGATCCTCTCTTTGAGGAAAATCAGGAATATTTGTAACAACACTTAAAAGTCTGTTTTCTCCCCAAACCCTTGCACTCATTTCTGTGACATGTACTGACTCAGAGACAAAACTGGGTTAAGCCACAGGAATATGGGAACTCAGAAATTACACTGAGACATGGGAACTCACCTTTCATCTAAAAAGCTGCTGGAATTTTCAGATTTATTGGACAGCTTTCAGTATAGGCTTAGAAATCATTGCAGCAGATTCTGCTGGAAAGCCACATGGATTTTGTGGAGCCAAATGCTTGTAAAACACATATAAAACTCCCCAAACTGCAATGTATTAGTTTTTTTTTTTCAATTCCATGCAAGCAGGTCTTTTGTCTTTTACTAAAATGTTTATTTTGGAAGCACCAACAAGGTCATGAAACATACCCCTACAAATACCAGTTCCAAAATACTTCACAAAGTCTCTGTTGCTACAACCCTTTTTTTTTCTGCAATTTTTTTAGAGTTTGTCCTGTAAGTGTCAATCCTGGCTTGAAAAAATAAGTCTGAAATTCCAGTTTCCCAAGAGGCAAATATATTCCATCAGGAAATGAAACATCTAGACTCAAGTTTGTGAATTGAAGTTAAAAGACAAAATCACACCTTTCTCTTTTCTTTTTTTTTTTTTTTTAATCTGAGGCATGAGTGAGATATTCTTAGTGCTTGAGACAGCACTGCAGGTCACACAGGGTGTTAAAAATCACCAGTGAAATGTAACACTGCTCCCTGAAATCTGCCTTTTTCTTCCAAAAACTGGCAGAGACATGAAATCTTCCTAAAAATGGCTATGCCAAGTTCCAAGTGAAAAACTTACAGCCTGAAATGAAGTTATTCTGTGGAAGAACATGGCTGGGGCATCAGCTGTGTCCCACAGAAATTGATGGTGCTGGTGATGGCACAGCAAGGAATTACCCAGCAGTGCTGCATCTGTGCACTGCATGGGCTGAAATGCTGCCCTTTCTGACCACAAAGGACACTTTCTCACCCAGAAAAAGTAAGATTTCATCTGGCAGATAGCCTGCTCTTCACCAAACTTTGCATTCCAAGGAGGAAAAGCTGGATTTCAAACGGCAGCTGTTTCTGTGGAGCACACATTCCTGCACCTGACACTGCCAAAAACCCAGGAAAATGAGGAACAGAGCAGTAAAGATGTAAAGATGTCATGCAAAGAAAACCCTGAGGTGTGAAGGGACATCCTGAGGGCAGCTGGAATGTGATTTCCCCAGTGGGTGCAGGGTGAGGGGAGCACATTTGGGTCCCTCCTCTGCCCTGCCCCAGGCCAGCCCTGACTCTGACAATTTCAGAGACAGCATCAATTTACAGTAGGAAAGCACCCTCATGCCCTGAAAATACAATTCCAAGAATCCCAACCTGAAGCAACCCTTTGATAAAATGTGTTTATAAAAAGCAGCAACATAAGTACCTCAATCCTTGTCTTTCTGGTAGGCCAGGAAATCTTTTTGTCATACAGGAAACTCTTTTCTTATTTTTTCCTATGGAATTTCTCATTTATGTGAATAAATAGTTTCAAAATATCTTATTTATCCCTCAATTTTACTTCTGGAAAGTTAATTTTCATGTTTTTATACAGTCTTCTGCTGAGGAAAACCTCTACCGTGCCTATACTTGACTCACACTGAATTTCAAATGTCTAAACATTTTTTCCACATCAACTTAATTGAAAAATATAAATGCCTACCCTCAGGAAGGCTCCTAGAATTGTCTTACATCCCCATATGTGATGTATATGATAGAGCAACAAAAAACTTCAGATTTTAATTTATTTACTTCAATATTTCAATGTATGTCTGGAAATCCAAACCCATTAGAGGTACTGGGGATTTTTCAAAATTACATTATCTACTTCTGTACCTCTTTGACTTCTTCAGGGTGGTAAGTTTTTACTTGAAATGAAAATTATCATTTCTTCTTTACGTTTCCTATAAAAACTAGAGTAAAAATGGGTATCTATGATATAATAGGAAAAGCATATAGAAATCTTTACTTCCTTAATGTTACTGAAGTATTCTCATATACATATATATATATATATATATTTAAAAGGGGGGGTGTCTTCAGGGATACAAGGCACAACACCCTGCCATGGCTACATTCACATTTAGAATAAATCTGAACTCAAATTACATTCATTTTTACCAGACAAATTTCCAGACCCAGAAATACATAGAAAACCTGACAAAAATGCACTCCTCTGTAAAGCTCCCCTATCTGTTTAGACTGGAAATAAATGCATTTAAGGAAATAAGAACTGCAGTTGAGGAAGACTTTCAAATCAATAGTGTCTTTCTGTTGCTTATAAATAGTTCTAGAAAAAGGCTATTTTGCTACAATTAAGTACTGATTTATTTCACAGAGAAAAACCATTCATCACAAGAACTCCTATCTGTAAAGCTCCCCTATCTGTTTAGACTGGAAATAAATGCATTTAAGGAAATAAGAACTGCAGTTGAGGAAGACTTTCAAATCAATAGTGTCTTTCTGTTGCTTATAAATAGTTCTAGAAAAAGGCTATTTTGCTACAATTAAGTACTGATTTATTTCACAGAGAAAAACCATTCATCACAAGATATTTAGTAAGTACAAATATAAATAATGTCACTTTTAAAAATGCATAAAAGGATATGTCAGTGATTCTATTGACAAAACATTCCCAGTATTTGAAGTTTGATCGTTAGGACAGCCAAGGCTCCTGCTAGACTGCGGGTTCAGTTCTTAAAATTGCATTTATTGGTCATCAAAGCATGTTCTCCTTGCCTTGCCTGTCCCAATTGCTCCTCCTGCAGTGCAAAATGGCATTTTCTAGGTACAGTAGGATTTGTGTTGTGCTTACATGTTCATCCCAGGCATCCCCGGGCCACCTAAAGCGTTCAGAGGGGGTCTCATGGCACCTCCATAGTTCTGCAACGACAACCAAGGGTCAGACTACCACAAAACAAAAAAACAAAACCAAAGAGGAGGGGGAAAGAAAGGACAGCAGGTTAATGACATCCCTGTGCAGCTGCTGCCAGGACAGGCCATGCCATTCATGCTTTCAGGGTTCCCTGACTGTTGACTAAAAATCGGGATCTTTAACCCCAAGGAGGAACAATACAAACATCAGAAATTGGCTAAGAATGGTTAACATGGTTTCAGGGGGAATTACACTATTTACACATATTGAGCTCAAGTTAGTGCCCAGCAAGGTTCAGGTTTTATAATGAATTCCACTTCTAAACCAAGGCAATTCAATATCAGAACCCCCTACTAAGATTCTGAGATATCAAATGCTATTATTTCTACCTAGATTTCATCACATGTCTATAAAATTAAACCACATGATATAACCTCTCTACTGTACCAATACATTTCTCTTTCCATTATTCAATTCCAATAAATCACAGAAACCCAGGATGGGACCTTAAAGTCCATCCAATGTCACCCCTGGCCTGGGCAGGGACACTTCCCACTACCCCAGGTCTTTGATAATCAAAATGAAGAGTATTTAATATGATAAATAATGTCCCAGCAATGATAACAAATTAAATTCCCAACGCCCATAAAATCTGAGTTTATGTGCTGATATCCACAGTTTGACTGCACTACTTACACAAAAATATAAATTACACCTGTTTTTATTCAGTGGAATAGAAGTAGCACAATCTGTCTCACCTGACAATCTCCCACCTGTAATTACTGCTAATCCTAAACAGATTTACTCCTTTGCCCTAAATAATAGCACTGCCACCCTTGCAGGTGTCCTTTCAGAGCAGTGATGCTCTCTGCAGAGTATTTGGTGATCCAATTATGGAGTCATTTGTGCACTTAAATTTTGTGGGCTTAAATTTTGTGTAGGTTAGGATGTTGAGCACAAAAAAGAAGAAGCACACAAAAACACTGGATCTTAAATGACAGCAAAAATGGAAAAATTATCCTCATAAAAAGTGGCATGAGATTTGCCTGCTGTGTGACTAATGGTGCTGCATAAAGGATCAGCTCAATCTCATATGGCAGCACAGCAGAGTTTCTACCTCCAAAAATGGTAAATACATTTCAGGGCTACATAAAAAAAATAGCAAACACATTTTATTTTGTATTTGTATATGTTTTGCTGGCCGCTCAGCAGAGGTTGTGAAGAACTGCACAACTGGTTTGCAGCAGGAAGCCCCAAAACTGTACAGACAGTTGTGAACAGACTTGGAAGGCAAAGCTGTTCAATAATTCAGATTTTAGCTGCTATTCAAACAAGCAGCCACCAGGGAGATTATCTGAAACGGGGAAGCAAAAATGCACAGTGTGGGCACAACAAGCACACTGTGACACAAAACACTGGCAGCACCAGTGAGGAGCACCACCAGCCACGTGCTGCTGCCTGGAGGGCTGGAAAAACCCAGGATTTGTGTGTTGGATTTGTGCTCCAGGGTGCACCAGGACTGCCTGTCCCCTGCTTGTCCCTCTGGGACAGAGCCACAGAGATGCTCAGGGTGGACATGGGGACAAATGGTAGCCTGGACATCTCACTTCACACTAAAATCTCTGCTGTATGTGCCAAAATTTAGATCAACAGAGGATGAAAGAAAAAGTTTGCAGAATTTGGGGAGATATTTTTGGCTAAGTTAGAGGGTCATGTGCCAAAATTTAGATCAACAGCGGATGAAAGAAAAAGTCTGCAGAATTTGGAAAGATATTTTTGGCAAAATTAGAGGGTTTTAATATTTTTCTCCTAAACAACATAATCAGTGAGGAGGAGGAGGAAACACCTACTCCACTCCTGGTCTGCCTTGTATTAATATTTTCCTCCTAAACAGCATAATCAGTGAGGAGGAGGAGGAAACACCTACTCCACTCCTGGTCTGCCTTGCCCAGTGTCAGTCTTTGATTACAACACACACTTTTCTTAAGAAAGCAAGTGAAGGGATTCTTCTTTTCATCCCAAATATTAACGAAAATGACAGATTTTTCATTTCAATTTTGTACAGCTGAAATTTAGAACACTTTTTTTTCTGTGAAACAGGAAGTTTGTTTTAAAAAGGGATTAGCAAAACCAGCCCTGGGAATCTCCAAGCTAAGCAAAGACACAGAATATAGACTAAGTCTAGGCCTGTCACTAAGGATAACCCCTCTGTGGGAAATACCTGTGGTCCTAATGGCACCATTCCCCTCGGAGGAGTCATCCTCTGCATTGGCCCTCCCATGTTTGGATGACCTGCAAACAAAACACAAAACACATTGTATTTACATATGCAATACACAGCTGATTGAATGATGCAAGACACAATCACCTTCCACAGGTACTTTTAATGAATGATCTCTTTCTAATTAAGAGAAAAGCCCCATGATGATGAGCACTGTGGAGGGGTCCCACACTCACCCTGCTGCCGTGTGGGGTCCATCCCGCTGGGCAGGAGGGGCTGACTCCCCGGGACACCTCCGAGGGCCTGAGGCAGGGAAAACACAGCATAAAACCACAGCATGACTGCAAATTCATGCTAAAGACACAGCGCACACGTTTCATTCCTAATTCCTGGATGTTTCCTCTGAGTCAGGAGTTAATGTGCTTTTAAATTCCCACATTAATCTGCCCTCTGGGTTTGCTGAATTAGGTTTAAAGCTCATTTTTACAGGATTTTACCTGCAGCTGGGTCAAGCAGAAAAGCACTTTTATGAATGGATCTTTGTAGCTGATCCATGAGGTGCTATTTAGCATTTCAAAGCACCATCACACTTTCAGTAGAAATGTATCCTGAGTGAGCAGAATGTCAGAATGGTTTGGGTTGGAAGAGACCTTAAAGCTCATCTCCTTCCAACCCCTCTGCCATGGGCAGGGACCCTTTCCACAACCCCAGGACCAAACTACCACCTAATCAAAATTTGGCCCTTAAAGCTGCACCACAACAGTTTATTGCTCCCACACCCTGCCCTTGAGTAATGTCAGTGCTGCTAAAGCAGCAATTAATGAATTTGGCATAATGTGAATGCAGCAAGAGCTGCAGTTCACTGGGATTATATGATTATCTTCCACCCTGGAATGAAAATACCCCAGTGTGCAGACAAAAACACTTGTGAAACCCAACCTGCAGGCTGGCAGCACCTCCAGCCACCACATCCCACCTGCCAGGATTCACTGAGCTCAGGCACAGAGGGTGTGAAACCCAAACCCCGGGCTCAGGGGCTCAGACACCTCTGGCTAAAACAGTACTGGGAAGTGCAAAAATCAGGAATGCACTGAGTTACAGCAGTAAAATGTTATCAGATATTAGGTGCAGTACTAATGGCACTGCACAGATGATCACTTCATCGAGGTTAACTAAGTCCCCCAGGGCCCTGGTGAGAAAGTAGCCCTGGTACAGGTAGCTTTACCTGATCCCAAACATCACCAGGTACACCTGGACAAGTCTTAACACCTGATACATCCAGCTCACTGAAATTACGATTTCCTCACTTCTGGTAACAGTGTGTCAAAAGTAATGACAAATTTGTTGAAACTGAGTTACACAAATAAAAAAAAAAATAGCCAGAAATAGGCTGGGGTTTAGTGTGACAATGGAAAGGCAGTCCGGGAAACCAAAGTTGAACCAAACTACCTGCTCCATTTATCCTTTCTACCTTTCCCAATATTGTAAATGACCTAGTTTTCCTCTCTGAGCTCCACTGATGTTTTCCTGTCTGCTTGTCTTTAACTTTTCATCTGCTGACAACTCTTTCTCCTCCTCTATCTGCACTATGGGAGAACTTGAAAACACAAATGTTCTCTACTTCCAGAACCCTCTTCTCACAGATGGGCCAGAAAAGGTCCCTGCTGACGAACAGCAGCTCATTACTCATCCTTGCACATCCTTAGATGGAGATGAGGGAAAATTGGGAATTCAGTGCTTTTAGAAAGTTCTGAGAGTGTCTGGAGGAGCCACAGAGCACTTCATGAGACCAATAATCCCTATATTTACTGTGGAATAAATGCAATTTGCATGTCCAGCAGAGCATCAGGGATCAGCCTTACCTGGTTGGGTATTCTGAGAGGTGGCCTTGGGCCTCCAGGGTACCGGGGGGACATGAAAGGCTGCAGGGAGAGAAAGAAACACTGCTGAATAATCCCACTCATATTCTGTATCCCACTTTGTACCACTGCCACGCTCACACCCATCCAGCCTGAACACTCCCACGGAGAGCTGTGGACATTGTCCCACAAGGTTTAGCAGTACTAGAGAAATTCAGAGATTCTTGGCCAACCCATCTATCAGGATAAATTATTTAACAATTTGTTTCAGCACTTTTAAGTGCAGAATATAAAAAACTTAATGCTTTAATAGTAAAGAATAAACCATAATCAGAATCTGTACTGTCCACTAGAGAAGGGGCAAAGACAGGAATTTTGGAATAGAAAACAAAAGTGTTCTTGGGAGAGTTCAGTGGTAAGGAAGATCAAAATAATTCACAAATACTTTTCATTCACTTCTTCATAACACAGTGAAAAGCAACACAAAATTTACCCTGTGGGGGCACAGACTCCCAGGTCATTTTGCAAACATTTAGAATTTTGCTGGTTTCAGTTGCCATGTCAATTCAGTGCTGCACTCCTGCCATTCCTCCCTGCTCACACACTGGATCTCCTCTCTCACCCCCGAATTTATACCCAAATCTGGCACACCATCCACACCTTGAGAGGTTCTGGTGGCTCCTGGCTACCCCAGAGCTACCTCACAGCCCACAGACAAGGCCAGGCCTCCAAATAATAAGTGGTACTGGCAGCAAAAACATTTAACTTCTCAGCTCAATCCACCCCAAAGTGTGGCAATAGCCTAGAAATATAAAAAGATGGGTGGCAAATCTACATGAAAAAGGCACAAATATCTGACTAAACAGAAGATGAAGAGGATGGCTTTGGCAAGCAGGAGCACCTACAGCTCCAGAAGAAAATGAAGAGATAAAAGTATGCTGTGTCTGAGCACAGGGACAAAAAGACTGATTTAGTCTAGCAGTAGCTAGCAGAGAAACTGCAATTATTTTACCAATAATTACTACTGGTATTTTTCCTATGATCTTACATCAATAAATTAATGAAACCTTTCACATCCTGGAATCAGATGAAAGCTGAAATAATGTAACCTACATAAACACACACTCAAAGTAGTGCCAGAAAGCAATTTAAAGTACAGAGGGTTTACAAACTGGAGAAGAAAGTTCAATAACAATTGTGAATAGATTAATGAAAAGATACTTGAAATTATCTGCTGTAGAAGAGGGAGGCTCCTTTGTGCATTCTCTGATGGTGAGAACCTCTGATAAGAAAATGAAAGGGCTGTGCATGTGATGAGGCCCTTGTGAAACAGTAGAAGTGTCAGGAAATTAGAATTTCAACCATTTCCACAGAGGTCAACCAAGTGCAGCCACTCCAGTGAGGACCTTGGGTTTGACTTGTGTCCCCCAGCAAATGAAACTCAACTTTATTTACAGCTGTGTAGCTCAGAAAAGGGAAACCTGCATTGTCTCTGAATTCAGCCATGTTTAATGAGCAGAACCAGCCTACTAATATGCAATAGTAATAAAAAACCTACTCCTTCCAAAGCTTACAAGGATTATATACTGCAAATATTCGTGTATCTATGTATTCCCCTCACGCTCAGGTAGAACTGCAATCAGTGACAAGCAGATTTCAAGTAGTTCCTATGGTTTGGTTTTCGACAAAAATGTAACCATTACAAACTTAAATATTCTCATTTTTGTGTCAGTGACTGAACTTCTCCCCCTGCACTACCAATATATTGCATACACTATATGGTGTATTGCATATATTATTTGTCCACAAAAAGGTTCCACCATGATGTTTCAAGACAACAAAGAAATTCTGTCCAACATTTTAATGAAAATATATTAAATACTCTCAGCTTTTCATGACAGTGGAGTGGTTTTAAAGTCCCCACACACATTACTGAGCACCAGATTCTGACAGACACAAACTCAAGCAGCAGAATCTTTGTGCCATGTTGTTCATTCACCACCTCCCTTGTAATTTCCAATACACCTGGCATTAGTCTCTGAACTAGTTTTACTATAATTTCCTACTCTTTTTTTTTTTTTTTTTTTAATTAGGAATTGCTGGAAAGTCCATAAGGGAGGAACCACTCTGGGCTTCCATTTCTTACAGCAGGCATCCCTCTCTCCTCGATTCTTGGCAAATTCTTCTTCCCTTCTCCTGCAGCACCAACACCCCTGAACTCGCTGGGCTCAGAATACTGGCACTAAACTAAAACCAGTGCCCACAGACCTTCAACTGGTCACTCACATCTTGTTTCTGAAGGTGAAAATGAAATGTTTGCATGCTGAAGACTTGGACATTTGTGCCTATTTTCTCAGCCTAAAACTCAGCATTTTAAATGCACCTTAAATGGATGCTCACACTAAATTTTCAGGAGGACAGAGCCTTTATTTGTCTTGGGGGTAAGCTTGAAAAATACTCAATAATGCAGCAGGCAACTTCAGCTGTGGGGTAGTCAGAAGACAGAGGGACTAAAATCAACCTCTCCAATGGACTTCAAGAACTGGCAGACAAATAAGGTGTCAGGAAAAGCAGAAGAAAACACTCCAAAACAAGTAAACAAACAAACAACCAGCAACAATAACAACAAACAAAACAAAAACCCCAAAAGACAAACAACCTTCCCAAAGAAAACAACAAACAAAACAAAAAACCAAATAAAAACTCCCAACCAGACAAAAAAAACCAGCAAAACCCAAGCAACCCAACAAACAACACAAAACAAAAAAACCAACAACCAACCAAACAACACATACCCAACCCAATTAAAAAGCAAACCTACACAAACAAAAACAAAACCTCCTGAAAAATCCCTCAAAGTGAAAACTGAAACACAAGGCAAAACCAAACAAGCAACCACAAAAACAAAGGGGAAAACTCCCAAACTCATGACAAATCCCAACCAAATGCAAATAACCAAGGGAAAAAAAACCCCAAAAGTGAATAAAACAAATAAACAGGCAAGCAAGCCAGATCTAAGCCAATGCTGAGATGAAGATGCCACCAATATCTGTTAACAGAAATATGTTGTAATTCCTTCCCACAGGTATAAATTCACTAATCTGGCATCACAAGAAGGATCCTGAAGGCTGCCAATCCTGCAGCTGAGAGCAAAGGAAGAAGAACCTTCTACTAAACTGGGTGAAAAAGAAGCCAGGAAGGAAAAACCTTTTGTCTAGTCACTGCAGAATATCTACATTTACCAACTTACAGTGGAAGTTTACAAACAAAAGCCCAAAAACCTAAAAGGACGAAATCACTGGAATGTTAGAATAATAGAGATGATACAAAATAAAATCAGGATGTGAAATGTTAAATTTAATAACCTTCCTGCTCTGACAGCAACATTGCATGTCGAATTGTTAAAAGTACTTTAAAGAAAGGCAGGTTCAGGCACTGGAATGATGGTGCCAAAAGTTGCAGCACTTTTTTGTTATCTCTCTGCTCAAGAATAATCCATCTGTGCACAGGGACAGCAAAGGGTATCCATAACCAGCGTGTTTCATGCAGGTCTGAGAAGTGTGTATGCTGTGCAACATCAAAACCTTCCAAAATACTATATTTTTCTTGGTTCTCAACACAACAGAAAATAAGTTTTTCACTGGGAAAGTGTTTGAGAGAGCAATGTTGAAGCACAACGGCCTCACTGCCCACATTTTGGTGCCAGGAAAAGTGATTTTACAGAAAGGATCCAGCAGGAAACTGATGCCATAAAGGCACAGAGGCTGAGATGTTTCTCTGCCAGTCTTGTAGTTCTTACTCTCTTTTTTAGTTGTCCAGGAGACTGTAAAATATGATGTGGATCAGTTTTCACTTCCACCTCATAGTGGTGAAATAAGGAATTCAGAGAGTGGTGTTCTACTGAGCATGACATACTTCAATAAATTTATTGTTTCCTTAATCTTACTTCTCTTCCAAAAGCTGGGAGTGTAATTTCCTTCCTTCCACATACAGGTTTCTTGCACTGACATTTTTATCCTGTTTTTCCTCATACCTTTACATTTATCAATCACATTTTGTCTCACATAAATTTGTAAAATTTACAATAATCCACAGCCCAGAGAAGCAATCCTGAATATTTAAAACTCCTATTGAGACTTAATTAACCATAAATGCATTGACCACAAATTAAAAATCACATGGTGAGACACAGCTTCACACTTGGTGTGGAGAAGGACCAAAATAGCAATAATTGATTTTTATAACTCAGCCACCTACAGAACAAATGTAAACACCACTTATCCTAGCAGCTGAAAATGGAACCACAGACCTTATTTGTATACACTACAAGTGATCTTAAATTAATTGTGCTGCTACTTGAGGTGCAAGTACTGGAAAACAGTTCAAGCTGCAAGAGACAAGGTCGCATTTCCTCTGGTAATTCTGAAAATGACCCAATCTTTCCATCCATTTCAAAGTTCTAAATGACCACAAGTGAAACAAACCAAAAATCTTTGCTCTCCTCTCTGTTTAAAAATCAGTTGCCAAGTTACACATTCTGTGTCAAATACAATTAATCCTCACCTTTTTTGTTTTCAGACTCTAGTCTGGGCTAAAAGGTTTGGCATCACTTATTGTTATGATTATTAGTATTAGTATCCAAATGATAAAAAATAAGCTGGCCATTGTTATTTCATTTTTCTATAAGAGTAAATAATGTATCTACAAGTAATTTTTCATTTCATTGCTTTTTATTTTTTACTTTCCTCTGTGATTTTTTTTTCCTTGGCATCTCCCTCAGCAGCAACAATCACTCAAGTTTCAGGACACTCTTCATTAACACATTTTAGTTTTAACCAGGATTAAAGCCGAAATTATTTTGTTCTGAAATATTTCAGAAATGAAATTTGGGTTGTACACTGCACATCTTGCAGTCTACCAGTGCAAACCAAAGCAGACGACTTTATCTATGTTATTTTCATAAAAATGTGTTATTCTCAGCACTGAGAGAGGATTTCTCTCTACACTGGCCCTTCCTCATGAACAAATCCATTTCCATGACCAAGTTCTTTACTGTTTCAGAA